GGGGGCCTGTAAGCAGCCTTTACACAAGCAAAACTTGGCTACGCTATTCTCTCTTCTTACCAGCAGCAGCTGCTGCAGCTGCTCCGTATCTGCGAGCTTGTCACAGTGATGTTTCCTAGCAGTGGCCGTGTCAGATGCAGAGACCATCAGGCTGAGAATCCTATAGCGGAGTTAATTAGGGGATACCAGACTGGAGTCAAACAAAACCTGCCATGAGCACTGTTTGCACATCAGCTCATTTTTGCAAACAGGTGAAATATTACAGGAGACAATTTCCCAATGTAATTGTACACTCAAAACACCATCCATTAACCATTAGATACAAACCCAGCCATAGGGATTTGAAGCTACAAGCAGCACTGAATAACCTATGGAATCATTTGGTAAACAAACAAGCTCTTTGAGTGCTGCCCAGCACTGCAGCTTTCTACCTGGGGCATATGTTTGAGCATCTCAATCTGTAATGCTTCCCCTTCACAAGCAGCCCTCTGAGACATGAATTATGTACTGAAATAAGAGAAAAGGGTGTAACTATATTCAGGCACAAAACTGCTTTAAAGAACTTGCTGATATCCAAACCCTGTTGATGTCAATACAGGTAGGGTCCTAAGCCCCAAGAGGGCCCTGGGTGAGGTGCCACAGACGATCTTTGTGGATCAGGTCATTCAGCTAACGCAGGCAGTGGCATCTCCATTCTCTCTACATCAACTACAAACAGTCTGGAAAAAAAAACAGGCTCAGCATCCTATGGAGGATATCCAAAGCAAGAGCAAGCAGAGAAGGCAAGACTGGAGACTGCCCTAGGGATAGCAGGATGAACAGAACAGCTAGAGAGAAAAATCAACAGGGCCAGACACAGCTCCTGCCCTAGTGCAGTGGGCTAAGACTTCCTACCAGCTCAGTGGCACCTGAGGGTGCTGCTGGGTCAGAACAGAGCTTGAAACCTTTAAATGTCCATCTGAGAGAGCACCAACCAACACACAAGTTCCTTGAAAGACCATTAGGAATTTGTCATAAGCATCGGGATTTAGATATGGATTCACATAGGATTTAGTTTGGATTCAAAATTTAAAAACATAAAAGTAATACTCTAAATCAAGTAAAATTAAGCACTTAGTTATATATGCTAAGTATAAAATATGGGAAGACCATTTCCCCAAAAATATTACAAAAAAATTAAGAAAAATGAAACATGAGCAATATTGTAAGAGCTCATACAAGCATCATGAGTGATATGGGCAAAGTGTGTAAAACCAACAGAAAGCAACTACTAATTGGATGGTTGGTATGAAGATTACGATATGAATTTGTAGAATATTGGATAAAGTTTTAGTGAGAAAACGAATTAATGAAGCAGCCTGCACCATACATGCTGGAAAACTAATCTGCTGAATGAAGAATTGGAAAGGCCTCAATATCCCATTACATAACATGAACTGAAATAGGACACAAAACATGGCAAAAATGAGAAAGATTGTTTCATTTGCTTGTATGTTCATGGTAAAGACTGAATAACATGAAAGATAAGTGGAAAATTCTCACTGATAAAAACATATATAATTGACATGACTGATGCTAGTGGTTGCTTGAATTAAAATCATTGATTATAATCAATGATTTGGGAATTCATCTTGTCATTCTGAGGTATGAAAACCCCAAAATTACAGTTATAAATGCACGTTTATATCTATTTTGTCTTCCTTCAAATATTCTTTTTGCTACATGAAAGCAGTTGCCTTCATCACCCAAATCTGTAGTGGGCTAACAAGCCCATGAATCAACATACAGCACAGGGTGAACTATTGCTGAAACACACGTCTAGAAAGGATGGACCCAGCAGCGTGTTCTAAGAACACTTTGTAAGATTGACTGGAAATCTCATGCAGGCAGAGTAATAAATCACCATTAAGCTTTTTAACACAATAACTGTGGCAACTGATGCTATCCTGGACTTTGGTAGCCATTTAGAGGCTTATTCCAAAAAGTTTCTTTCAATGTGATCAAACATGCAACAGTCCCAGCTTCAGATTGAGGGGTAACTTTCCTCAGGATAAGAAATATGTTGATCAGGAAGAAAAAAAACTTCAAAAAAAACATACGAAAAGTATTTCTAAAGATTAGCAATTTAAATGCTCCAATTTTATGATACCACTAAAAAAAGGCAACTTGAATTCAGTGATAAGGTGAAGATGGAAATTGGATTAATAAAAAGAAAAAAAGGAAAAAAGATACTTAGCGATATAAAAGTTATGAAGCACGGAAAATTGATCAGAGAATGTAGAAATAGCATCTTTAGCCCAGAAAATCTTAAGACATTTAAGCATATTTTTCCCTTTCAACTATGATTCTAGGATTAGTGATGCAGCATAACTTTTATTAACTTTTATTCTTCATGTTTTATTAAGAAATATAGCAAAAGATAGGCATCTCAATCCTTTCCATCTCAGTATGAATTTAGAATCCTAGACAACTGAGCAGCTGAGTAAATTGTCATTCCTGATTTGAAATTAGTTTTGGAGGGTTTGTTTCCTGCATACAATAATCCTTACCATTTAATTTCATGAAAATTATGTCACCTATAATATTGTCAAGAAAAATCATTGTAATACACGTGCAATACCAAATATATCTTAACATCCTAAAATATGTTTTTGTATATCTTAGGTATATCAAGTTAAAGATAAATAAGAATGCACAAGCTTTATTTATTTATTTATTTATTTATTTTTAAATAGAGGGAGAAAAAAAGCAGAGTAAGATGGCAAAAGAAATTGCGGACAACAAATTATTAGACAAGACACTAAAGCCCATCAGTGATAAACACCTTAAAATCAGAAAAGCTAGAAAACTTCTATCCAAGAGTACTAAAGGAGAGGTGGCAAAGAAGATCTCATCTGCTAGTATTAGCTTTCTAATAAATCATGGAAACTTGGAGAAAAAACAGAAGATTATAAAAGCAACAATGTTGTGTCCATGTTAAAATAAATAAATAAATAAATAAAGAGGGGTGAATCAGGTAACCACAGAGCAGCTACCCAGTTTTGGTTCTTGGCAAAATACTAGAAAGGTACTGCAGTCTGAAAAATTGAAGTACAGAAAACTACTTCTTGCCAGGTTACATGATTTTAGAAAGAACCAGTCTAGAGAGACAGCTTGATTTTATCCTTTCAAAGAACTAAACACTTGGTTCATGGAGGTAATTGCTTGGATGTAATAAAATTTATCTTTGAAGGAAATAAAAGTACGATTCTATATTACACTCCATCCATGCCAAAAATGGTGGCTAACTGCTCTGCAGGAGTAGCTCTAGAATTCCTGGGGTTTCCAGTTTTGAAAGCACAAGTGAAGCACCTTCAGATCCCTCACTGTATGTGGCTGCAATGGGGCCAAGAGATTCAGAAAGCCCTGGGAAAAAATGTGTGTGTTACTTGTAAGAAGTAAAGCAGGAGCATTTTGTTGTTGTTGTTTCTTCTTTTTAAAAATGCCCTTCTTAAAGAAAAAAAAATTGATCAGAATATTTCTGATTCAGAGGTTTGGACAGACTATTTCTGACCACATAAAAATAACAGGAAGACAAGGGAGATATCTTGAGAGAGAATGTTTTTTCCCCTCTGTGCTACACAGTTTGCCTTTTCAAAAGTAAGAGAGACAACTTGGCCTAAGGTTTTAGTCACCAGGGAATTTTTGGTTTAAAACAAACGTTTTGCTGTCCTGTTTAACAGTTGATGGAAGAATAAATACTATCTTCAACATTATTATGAATTGTGTGGTGAACCTCATCTTCATAAGAACACAAATTTCTACAGAGAAATTCAACCTAGTATTATTACTCAAGTTACTGTAGTGTCTATATGTTCCCACCAAAACCAGGATCTCAATGAGATCAGACAAACCCTCTCAAGACTTCCTCCTTGAAGCTGTGTTGCAAACCAAAGAATGTCATGTGTAATATTCCCTTTTATCCCAAACTAGCTATCATTTGTAATATTCCCTTTTATTGCTGACTACCTAAATCTCTCAAATAGGGGGAAAATCTAATATACAATTGCAGCAGCCAAAGCTCCATACCAGGCAGCTTTGAGTCACAAGGGAGGAAGCTTCACTAGCTGCATCTCAGATTTGCTGTTAGCAGCTTTCCCTCCAAAAGAGAAGGACTGAAAGCATAAAACCTTATGCGGCAAATTTAGGTAACTGGTAAATCAGACACTTGCAAACTTGTTGAAAGAATTGGAGCATACTTGAATTCACATAAAACAGGTTGGATAAAATCACCCCAAGTGGATAAGTAAGCTTATTTCCCCATCCTGTTCATGTAAAAATTTCCCTGATGCACTTCCAGGAGTCTTTATGTCATGAAAATTTGGGGCACTATGAGTATTTTATCCACACCCAATTTTTTAGTTTTCTTGACCATACTGAACACAACTGTCTTCCCAAAAGAGGTGCAAATGAAGCACCTGGGCCCAGGAGGCCTGACTGACACACTCAGCAATCAAAAGACAGGAGACCCACCGCCAAAGGCAGGAGAAGAAAAGTCAACAACTTGCATAAAGAAAAAGGCTAAACCTTGTTTTAGGTCAGTATATACCACCCAATATATATAATGCTAATATGTAATACCGGGAACTGTTTTAACTGCTCTCCTGCTCTAGCAAATGCCATAGAAATAGCAGAGCGTATAAAAGGAAGTCAACCCCACACTTGCACACTTCTGCTGTGCAACTTTGGGCTTGAGCATTTTGTATTTGTTTGCCAAGTTTGGTGGGTTCCCCTGCACACCCTCTCTCTTGAGCCTCAGAAATCCTGGAAAGCAAGCAGATATCCCATGTTCCAACCACGTACCTTGTGAACAAAATCCTGAAATAGATCTAGAAACAAAGTTAAAAGTGTCTACAGAAAAAGAGAAAAAATAAGCCTCGCTTCAAAAAAGAAGGAATATTCGACCCGTTATTCATTTCCAGTCAAACTTCTCAGAAGCGCTCCACATGGTTTACTTCAAAATGACAGAACCAGCAGAGGTGAATCACGCAGCGCTCCTTACTCTGCGCTTCCCGTGCGCCGGTGCCGCTCCGAGCGGCCCACGGCTCCGGGATGAGGCTGCGGGCACAGCCAACGCGGCTCGCTGCTGTTGCCTAGGCGACGATCCCGACATGGGCTGTGCGCACGGGAAGGAAACACACAGAGAAAGCTGCCGCATTCCCGCTTTCCCAATGCTTCTAATGGCGCGTTACAAGATGCTTCAAGAAAAAAAATAATGAAGCAGTATTGACAAGGCCAGTAGCCAAAACACAAAGCAGGAGCCAGAGGGAGGGATGAAGCACTTGCGTCTTTGGTGCCTGGAAGGGCTGCAGAGCCTCTTCTTGAGGAGTTACTTTCTTGCAGGCTAGAACATGGAGCCCTCCCTTCCAGGGCCAAACATGGAAATAAAGAGTAGCAGCTCATACCACACATGGGACACCTGGATACCTCATTCAATTAACATTTTCTCTTCAACAATCCATGCACAAGTGAACTGTTTTTGTCACCATGCAGTATAAGACAGCTTTTTACACAGACCTCAAATAAGATTTTAAAAAGCTACCAAAAAAGTGAAGAGAAGAAAGAAAAGAAAAATAAAAGATCAGTAGTACTTCAGCATCAAGGAAGAGCTGCCAACATCACCATTAGAAAAGCTTTCTCTCCGCACTCATTTCCCATGCGCAAGGTGCATGAAGCATGGGTCTTACTTGCACACCTCCAGCAGCGCCTCACCTGCTAGCCTCTCAGCCTCTCAGTTAAAATCTCTCAGAATCAAAAAGATCCTGGCAAAATTCAGCCAAAGAGCACCAAAATGAGATTCTATTACTTAAAGACCTAAAATTGGGTTTAGAAATACAGAGGTTTCTGTAACAGCAGCACATTCGGGCATATATCAGCCCCATCTTAGTTGTTATTATCAAGAATAAAAGGCTTATACAAATGATAGGCTACTAGGTCTGACAGCTTTTCAGAGAAGAAAGTTCTTGCCACTGCTCCTTTCATTTTGAGATTTTCCTGATTCACGATCATCAGTCATATTTCTTGGTATAAAGCCACATGGGTGAAGACATCAAATTCCCCAGCATCTAATAAAATCTAATAAAAAGCTTGATATTTCTTGTGATTTTTTTTTGAACGCACTTAAAAGGCAGCCTCTTCTGGAGATCAAAGATTCAGTTCTTGATAAAAAAAGAAAAGGGACAGATGACTCTAGTCCCTAGAACTACCTTCCATCTCTAATATTTAATCTTACGGGGCAATTCTTTGGCCATTAGAAAGGAATATTGCCTGTTCATGAGAGCAAATCCTTCATAAAGGCATTTCATTAGCTTTAGCAAAATGGTGAATGACACAGAAGCTGTTTGGCAATCCTTGTGAAACTGACTCCTCAAGCTCACAGACTGGTGCAAGTATATTGAAATATACTGCAGACTTAAATGATTTTTAATGTTTTCTGTCAGTCTGGTTAGGTTATTAAGTTTAACAACTGTGCAGTATTTGCTAAGTATTTTTAAATGCAATCATACTTTTCAATTATGGCAAAATTTAATGCTAGCACTCTATTAGGTAACCAAATACATAAGCATTAGAGTAGATCAGAAGTTGGTAATCAAATTCTGATTTTAATCACATGTACTTCATATTAAATCTTGCTGTAAGATAAAATTATTGCAGAACATAACCTTAATTCATTTATATACTACAACTCCCGTGAAAGAGGCACAATGGAATCAACTTCCTATATTATTTAATAAACAGCTTTGTAAATAAAACAAAGGCCAAATTTTAAAAGCAAAGTGCAGGCAATGGGACTGTACAACTTGTGCTTGTGCATGCAGACAGGACACACAGCTATCCGTCTGCACAGACACCAGCTTTTATTCTTTGAATTCAGAAAATAGTTTTGAAGTAGTAACTTGAAATTACAGAGGCTATAGTAAAAATTAAGATTTATATTTATAGGCCTCATACTATATAGCAGCAACAGCATTTCTTGGAAATATAAGGATGCACTTCTTATATCTTGCCCTTTCACTTGACATATTTCACACCTATTTAGACTGCATAGGTGGAGGGGAAAAAAAGAATGTGTCTATTAAGAATTTGTACAAGAACAGACTGACCCAAATGGCCATTATGAAAATAGATTATATTAGCTGGAGTGTGTCACTCCCATGTAATCAGCATGAGCCTTATGAAAATGTCAACTCATATATACATTCTGATGCAGAATAAGTCAAATTCTTGTTCAAACCTGTAAAATAAATACATTAGAAATAAAGTGTTTTGTACTGTCAGCACAAAACACTCAAAAAACTGTTCTTTTCAACCAGTTTCTTTTGCCATTCAACTTGTATACCGCTCTGTACACAACCAAAATAAACCCATCAGCTTCAGACAACCCTCCTCAAGGTCATTGCTATGGTCAACAATGTCCTCTGACAGACTACTCTAGAACTGCCTGTGTCTGCTCAAGTCACCATGGAGCATATAGATAAGTACAATAAAATACAATTAAACAAATAAAATATTGGCAAACTGTTAACACGTAAACCTTTTCTGTTGTTTCAGATGAAAAGTGTGTTCAAAAGGAGGAGAAAAATCAAATTGGGTGGGCAAATAACCCCAGACAGCAGTACAGGCTGAGGACTGACCTCCTGGAGAGCAGCTCTGCAGAGAGGGACCTGGGTGTCATGGTGGACAACAAGGTGACCGTGAGGCAGCAGTGTGCCCTCATGGAAAAGAAAGCGTGAGGGGGAACTGGAGCAGTGTCTACAAGTACAGTGAAGAGGCTAGTGCTGGCATCTTCACTGGTGGCCACGACAGATCTAGAGGTAATGGCTGCAAACTGAAGCACCAAAAGTTCCACAGGAACTTAAGGAAAAATTTCTTGACAGTGAGGGTGACAGAGCACTGGAACAGGCTGCCCAGAGAGGTTGTGGAGTCTCCTTCTCTGGAGATCTTCCAAACCCGCTTGGATGCAGTCCTGTGCCACGTGCTCTAGGTGACCCTGCGTGTGCAGGGGGATTGGACTAGGTGACCTCTAGAGGCCTCTTCCAACCCTAAGCATTCTATGATTCTGTAATTCATAGGAATATATGCCTGTGTTTTAGCTTACAAAGAACACACTATGTCTGTTGCATTGTCTGAACTTCATATTGAAAACAAAGAAAAACTCTTGGGCATCAAAAATGCCAAAACATTTAAGTGTGTGAGGACATAAGAACAAGTCTCATGCTGCACCTGCTCTATCAAAGATGTTAGAGTTCCTTCTGTTCCATCATGATTCTTTCCTTAACCTTTTCTCATTCAGCTTTCCCTTAATTACATCTCTTTAAGGGTACAGAAGGGAGAGAGAGGCCTATCTTAGTTGAGTTATATCTGTTTCACTTTTATCCACAGTCTTATCATAATTAGTCAACACAGAGCAGTAAAGCTGCAAGATCTGGGCTAGATAAGAAGTCACTGTAGTACTGACAGACTTAATGATGAAATTCCAAGTGTTTCATAATCCTATAGAAACATCTAGTAACCCAATAAAGGTTTATTCAGTTCATCTTATTAATATATAGCAGAGGAAGAGAGAAAATACCCCTATTTCCACCATAAGCATCTACCAGCTGTTGACAGAATTACTAAGATCAGTGTCTCTATCTTATGCCTAAGTCACTTCTCCCAAGCCAGTTCATTTCCATGCTTTCATTTGCGATATATAAATATTTACAAATCTGTATTTATAGGCAAGTGATGAATACATCCTCTCACTAGTTTCATCCTTCAGTCATAGCTACCCTTTTTAGATGTGAAGATTTAGAATTAAATATAAATCCCTGTATATTTTGCACACAAATCTGTGTGATGTATTTAGAATCTATTCTTTGTACTTAGTTGGATAATATCAAGGAAACCATAGATGTAATATCAGCTAAGACTAGGAAAGAAAACACTCTACCTTGTCCCCTTCTACATTCTGGCATAGCGTCGCAGCAGACAGTTGTACATGAAGATAAGTTTCCATTGTGTTGGTACTATGAGTCATCTGTTAAATAAACCCATCAAAGAAGCTGGATGCTTCTTTTTGAATTGAAGCAAGAGTAGTGGGAGTTTTATTCATCTCTAGTCATTTTACTGTATAAGCAGGAAAAAAAATCATATTAAACAAGAAAACAAAACATTATATTTCACATGTCCTGTTTTGCAGAAGTCTATTACTTACAAAATTATCAGAATTGCATTTCTACAAAGAAACAGATATACTTGGATATATGATTTACTTTACCAAGCATTAGATCTGAGCCAGGAAT